GGCTACGTGGAGCTTATCCCCTGCTAAGTAAGAACCACCAATAAAATCAATCTCCTGATATCGCTCTAATGCATCCCATAACATATCAATACTTTCATAAGAGCGGTTAGAAAGTATCACTCCCTCTTCCAAAATGAGAAAATAATCCGTTTTTACACGTGAAATCGTTGAATTCAGTGACTCACTATTATTTAAGTTCAATATTTGGTGTGCGGTAGGATATAAACTTCCGATACTTTCTAGTGTTTTATTAAAGTTGGCTTCGGAATAATTAATTGACGGTTTAAAAACAACAATAGTTAGCATTGAAGGTGAAAATTTTCGTGGTTTGTGAGGTGGCGAATATTTTTTAGTAAACGAGACATTGTAATTCTTGCTGCTGCTTTTCAGTGTGGTACGGTTGATGTTAGTAGCTCTTGTAGCTTTTGTGGTCTTTTTCATTTGAGATTTACTGGGAATATCGCTTCTGGTCATAATACGTTTTTTCTTTTCCAAATTATTGGATGTTGATTTCACGTGAATTTTGATTGGAATATTAGTAGAAATATTTTCCTTCAATGTGGACTTCGTGTTAGTTATCTTCAACTGATGTGTATCAGAAATACTGACAATGGTTTGCTTTAATGTGATGTTTTCTTGAATTAAATAACTGATAATGATCAGTGAAGCGAGTTGGAACATTACAAGTAAAGGAGTTAATACCGTCCGACATCGAAATCTTGCCATCGCGTATTAAGATTTCCAGATAGTATTTGATCAACAATTCTGTAATATCGACACTAAGCTTCAGCAGGTAGCGTGTGTAATTCTCGCTTGTTCTATTGTAAACGTAAAGAAAATACAATATAAACAATGTAAAGCGAAATTACCAGCTACTGTATATAACAGTAGAAATTCTCATGTGAAGAAATTTTACTGGGTGAATTTGCGTTTGAACTCCAGCTGTGCATTTTGAGTATCGGATATACAAATCCATTTTTCAACCTTTGTAAGTATAACTGTAAATCTGTGATATATACCTGTAAATCTGTGACTGTGAGTCCCAACGGATATAGGAATTAAACGTAAATTAATAAATACTAAACTTCAATGTGGGCTATTCCTATCCGGTGCCGTAGCAAGCTCGATAATTGGGGGGCTCATATTCATATATTCGTGTTCTGCGTTATTAATTTCTTTTGAAATCGATTGTTTTATGGTCTGTGAACACGAATATATGAATATGAGCCCCCCACCCCCCAATTATCGAGCTTGCTACGGCACTTCTATCAATGGATTTTCCGTTTTTAGTGTATAAAAGTTTCACTTGATGGCCGGGCGAAAACATGTCACAATTAGATTAAAATGCGGAAGCGGATGCGGAACGGATCCACGGAGCAGCTGCGGAACGGTTATGGGGATAAATGCGTTATTTTAATGACTTTTTTGCCTCATTTTTACGTTTCTGTGTTTTTGATTTATGCAAATATAGTTTTAGAATATACAAAATTTAGTTGTTGGTGAAACAATTTAAATTTCGAGTTATCGCATGTAGGATCACAATAAATAAATAAATTGCATCAGTTCCACGAGGCACGACGTTTCTGATGTATTAAGCTTCTTTCAAACGTCTCGCTACTCGTGTGCTGAACGCTTTAAAAACAATAGATAATTAGATGAAATGCCTATTCTAACTGTTTATTTCGTAGTGTAAGCCATCAACAAATTATTGTATTCTATTGTATCGTATTCGGTTTAGAACATTATATTTCTTAATTTTTACATGAAATAGAAGTACCGTGAGAACAAATATACAAGCCCGATACGGGGGAGGGCACTTTGCCCAGGGATTCTAGCTCAAAAGGAGTCCCCCCCCCCTTTACAACAACGAAGGCCCTTAAAATTTCTTGATACAAGATCGATTTTAACTGAGGATATAAATCCTAGCTGCGTTAGTGCTGGATAATATGTATTGCAATAACGTGTAATGTATTTTCCCGTTTTACAATTATGACGTCATAGGGGCCCCGTGAGAAACTTTTGCCTCGTACCCCGTACAACCTCTCGGAGGTCCTGCAGATTAAATTTAGTGCTCAGCTTGCAGGACACGGCATTTCAGGGGGAGTATGTCACCCCCTGTAACAAATGAGGTCCGATCCGCTCTTGGTTTGCGCCGAATGTTGTTAGATCCAACACTAGCATGAACTCTATGTGGATTGAACAATGACCGTCCTGTGTGTAACGTCAAACGTCGTGTTTATCAGTCGAACTTAATGTAGATGACGTACTTGTTTGAACTAGCTTCCGCACATGAGAACGTCGACGTTTAAACTATTTTCGTTTTCTTTCAGGGATTTTTCTCGTCCAGACTTGCCTTCAGGTGAAGAAGGACAGCCATCATTTGATCCAAATCTTGGTTTATCTGCTTTAGGTTTGTATATATAATTATGCAGTTTGTTTTACTGTTAAGCGCCGTTTACACGAGCAAATTTTATTTGACGAATTTCATTTGATCAAAAGCTAGCATGCTAGCTTTTGTTCAAATGCATTTGTCACAATAAATGTGTTACAAATTTGCATAGACTTGAAGGCAAAAAAGTTTAAAGAACTGAGATTTAAGCCCCGGTGAATCGAGGATTAAAGTTAATAAGAGCTGGCGGTCACGAATTGCTACAGGCTCTAGGCTAACTTAAAGATTTGATGAGTGTTGCAACTACCTTTTATCTTAATTAAAATACATGATAGTGTTGGAAGCTTTACGAGCAGCTAGCCAAGGTCGCGCGAGCCTCGTTTGACAAGGGAGTTACAAACTAGGAAACATTGTTGCGGAAACATCACATTGTTTCCTACCAATGTTTCGCCATGTTTCCCAGAGTGGGCAAACACTAGGAAACATTAGTGAGAAACATAGGGAAACATAAAATGTTTCTAAATTTGCTAGGAAACATTTTTGCTTCTCTGTAAGCAAATTTGTTTCCGCAACAATGTTTCCACGGGTGGGCAAACAGGGAAACATTTGAGGAAACATCGAGAATCACAAATGTTTCCGCAACAATGTTTCCGGCTAGTTTGCCCAGGGCCTTACGGCAACAACAGGTGGTAATTTGGTGGCAACCTAAATTCCCCTCCCCCCCCAAGCAAATCCCCCTTCCCTTTATAAAATCATTGAGGTCGGATATACCCCCCCGTTTTTCAAATGTTAATGAATATTGTATTAATCAACGCGCAAAAGTTCAAAGTTGTTATGTTGCCATAACACGTAGACAAGACTCGTAAAGAATTTAGACAATTGTCGCCATTTTGGCTGAACGTGGCAAATGAAAAATTGTTGGCTACGATTTCTGGGAAGGGATTGAAAACAATTAAAGCTAGTCTATGTTAGTTTTACTACTGTTCTGATTTTTTCTACCGCCTTCATTGGGTTAGTTTGTAAGGTCTTCCGAGTCAATGTTGTCCCCGAATCACATGTTGTGCTATCCTTCAGGTTTTCGTAGATATTTCTCATCCCTGCATATCGAATCCCGCCAGTTCTCGCCCTTGCATGCATCCAATTTTACGTTATAAAAATAAGACGCCCACTTAATTATCAAAGAGAAACTGTAAGAACTATAAGTGTAAAGTTGAAGTAGGGTCATACCATTCAACGGACACATTTAGGAAGCTTGAAAAAACGCTATCCTGTGGATAGTACTATATCAGGCCTTTGTACAAACTGCCCCAGGTATTTATTATAAAATATCTGAATGAATGATTTATATTCAATTATAAACGTGTGGTAAAAATCGCGATAAACGTGTGGTAAAAATCGCGATACACGTGTGGTAAAAATCATAGCCTACCTTGTAAATGCCTTGAAGACCACGGACGCCCTTCTTCTCTGTATCAATACGACTTTCCAATTTATTGTTTTTGTTGTTTGGGCATTCTTTGTATTGCCCCAGCGTTGCCTTAATTGCGAAAATATTACATCACATTCAGTATCACATGCATGGGTATTGTTTGCTTCTAATTATTGCCACGTCAGTCAAAATTAAATATTGTGTACGTTGCATCAAGCCCCCCATCAATAAATGCGTTAAAACAATTATGCAGCCTGTGGATTTCAAATAAACAATATGTGGATATCTTATCTCCTCAGCCCTTTTTAATTATAGTAAATAGCATGTACAGAAAATACGATACTTTTGAGAATTATACAGTACCGTGAAGTGGGAATGAAATTTTTGCAGTAATATCGCTGGAGTCGCCAATAATTTTTTACATCAACCAGTTGGATATACATGTATAAAAGTCATATAAAAAAGTGCGAAGTTATTACTTTCTGACCTTTAGTCTAGATGCAGAGGTCCGACTCGGCAAAAAACCGGCCCCTGCCCGCGCGCGAACCTCTAAAGGCCGTTTTCCATTAACGTTCGCTTTGTCCGCGCATGGATAATAACAATGGCGTTATCGATGGGTTATTTTCATATAGTAGTTAGTCATTGTTGAAACGTTATGTAATGTTAGGCAGTTAACCAATTAATCGAGAAAGCAATTGTTGGTCTAACTTGTCAAATGATTTTTGTAGAGGAAGTGTGACAGAAAAAGACTTAAGATCTCTCTTTTCATCCAAAACTGAAGGGGAACTCACCAAATTCGAGTTCTTCTCGTAAGTTTGAATATGACACGATGATACCATAGATATCTTATATACACTAGATAGTGCATCTAATTATTATGCAATTCAAAAATTGAAGCCGTGATTGCAGTCTCAGGTCGTTCCCATGAAATGAGAAGACTCGTATGTTTTCCATTTCTTAAACAGGGAACTTAAACATTAAGTTAAACCTATTCCAAATACATTTTCAAATTATTCAAATGATGAAAGTTATTGTTATTTTTGAGAGTTTATTAGCAATTGGGAACGACCAACATGGCCGCCATCTATTCAAATGGGGGTAACCGCTGGAATATTCTTGGCTTCAATTTTACTAAAAGAGATGCGCTATCTAGTGTATATAAGATATCTATGGATGATACACCCTTCCGGAAAGAACTTAGCCGTGGCAGGGCCGTGGTTATAAAGCCTCGTCTCAGTGTTTCAGACAACAGCTTTAGTGCTATTAATCTTGTTACTGATTACAAAATTATAAACAGGTCTTTCACATTTACTCATATAACTGTATGTTTCGTAAATATGCAAAAGGCTTTAAACCCAATATCTCAAACTCGAAAACGAGGCTCTATAGCCAAGACTGAGCACTTTCTGGAAGGGTGTATTAGCCATTTCTGAATTGCAATCAAGAGTCCACAGACAATAGTGAGGTTTAGATTTGATACCACTATCGCTACTGGTAAAGGACTGTTAGCCAATCAGATTCGTTTAATTTACTCGATTAACCAATCACATCCGTACTTAGTAAAAACCAGTGGTAAAAACGGTAGTTAAATCTAAACCCCACTAATAACCTGAGAACGAGATTTTGTGCAAAGTTGTAATGTTTTTATAGCAAATTTAGCACGAAGCCTCGATTTGGCGTTGTTGTTCGATGTCTTGATGTTTAAAAAGTTTGAGAGAATGTTCAATTAGCTGCAAAATATGACCGTAGTGGGTAATATATTATTGTACAGCTACCATCCCTTAATATTGCAGCCAAAGCTGGCAAATAAGCATTGACAATCCTAAGCATTTACATGTTAATTCGAAAACTGCCAAAAGTGTGTGAATCACAGAACGACTGTAATTTGGCAAAACAATGTAAATTAAACTAGTACTGATGAAACAGAATTTAATAAAGTTGTATTTTTAAGCACATATTCCCCTGAACAAACAGTAGGTGTATAGGACCAGACATGGGAAATAAAATATTGTTGGTTTCTTTCATGGCTACTGCAGAAAAGAAATTGGACGAGGGAAGAAAATGGCTCTGGTTGAAATGGCATCTGTAGAGGAAGCAGCTCAAGCGTTAGTGGTGAGTTTGGTATAGTGATATGCCGACATTATTAAAATGTGCCAGTGTGTGAATTTGTGCAGACACTTTAAAATCTTATTAGAAAACTAACATTGACTCCCAAAACCTAAAATATGACGCATTTTTGCAGGCACATTGTGAAGTTATGAATTTTACTTGCAGACACTAACACGCATCATTAAAATGCACGAGCGCTGCTCACAGGCACTTTTTGAATTTGGGCATGCAGGCACATTTTAAAATACTGGCATTTTAACAATATCTAGCTCTCAAAACCTAAAATATGAAGATTTCTGCAGGCATATTTTGAGGTTACCCTGGTGATATGACAAGATTTAACAAGGTTTAACAGCACTAAGTTGAGGACGTGCTCTTAGGAGCTCCGCTTTATTTTTGTTCTATTGATTGATTTGGCTTTATATCTTGTGAATAAGTCGACGAATTCGTACTGATAATGGCTGAGGAATTGCAACTGGCTTGGATGGGAGATTTCGACTCACTGAAACAGTTTGTCAGCGAAAAACTTAGTCTAAACGGCGAATGGGTTAGTCCAGGAGGCGATAAGAAATTATTTAATGATGGCTACATATCTATTTCGTGGCGACTGAAAAATAAGAAAGCCTTACTGATCGACGGCGATGATCGGGATAAATTTAAGAGTAAACTCTGCAGGATGATCTGTGCGAACGACTTCAACAAAGGGAATATGTGCGAAGAAACTACGACTGTGAATGTTGAATGCCGGGCTATCAACCGAGGTTGAAGGCATTAAACTCGATGTAACGATAGCAGAGCGGGAAATAGAAGTAAACAAGAGTGCTATAAGCAAAGTTGAGAGCAATCTACACGAGATAAATAGTGGTTACGAAGACCTTCGTCTACAGTTCGATGAATACAAGAAAATAACCGAAGTATTAATTCAGAGGGACTTAAAGCCACTGAGGCGACTAATGTCTCCTCCTAATTAAGACCAAAATCTCCAATTCAAAGCAGAATGAAATTTTCCCTAGCAACACTGCCACAAAGAACGATAAACAATGCGCGGTCAATCATGTAGAACAAAGCAATCTTGTCCTTAATCGAGTTTTGGGTGAGGAAAACTCCCTGACCGACCTTGCACAGAAGTCCCACGTGACTTCCAATCTAGTCGTTTCCAACAATAGACGCCGAGACGCGTCGACAAAGACTTATCAGTTAAGGATAATCAGTTAATTTTAAATAGTGATAACAGCCCAGCCGACCTACTACAAAGCCATAATAATAACCTGATCAATGGCGCCAAATCTCGCGACGGTCAGCGCATGAAAGGTAATTCGAATGCAAGGAAATTGCCAAATATTACCGAACTCAAATCCCTACTTCAAGTCCCTGGAGTGTCAGCTACTATGAATGAAGTCGACAACAAGGTTGACACATATCCCATTATCGATGGTCACCACTGCAGTTTGAGGAACGTCAGGCCCGTTTCCGATACGCCGTACTTCACATGTGCCGAATACATTACAAACAATGAGACATTTCAGCTCATTATCTATTGTGTTTAATGTATTCGGCACATGTGAAGTACGGCGTATGAAACGGGCCTCAGTTCATCAACTTTTAATGTTCTTAAAGACATAGAATTTTTACCCCTAATCAGTCTCAACGAATCCCTAGAATACAGTCATCAAGTTCCTGTTGATTTCAAACGTCCTTTTCAGGAAAATCCGGGACGGAAGCCACCCCCCTCGATTGTTCGATCCCACCAGCGATCCCCAGAATGGCTAAATCGCCTAGTCCTTGTCCGTCAATTAATGAACGCGTAATTAGTTCCAATACTGCTGATATTAACTATCCAAAGAATATTAATATAATAACGCAGCGAAGTAATAAAAATAATTTGAATTCTGTTCCGTCTATTGAACTTGTTTGCAAAATTCCTACTAGAATTACAGTTCGTCGAAATAATTTATGTGCCAAGGCAAGGCCGAGAACTCATGCAAGGAAAGTTAATGTCAACAACTTAGTATGTGTAAATTTTGTCTCAAATCCAAAACCAGATATATATTACGTTTTGCAACGATTAACGCTAGATCACTAAGAAATAAGGTAGCTGTATTCTCCGACTATATTGTTGATCAAAATATTGATGTTTGTGTTGTAACTGAGACTTGGTTGAAGGACATGGACACAACAAGTATTGCAGGCGTTTGTCTCCCTGGATATTCATTTAAATCATTTCCCCGTCAATCTAACAGATCAGGAGGAGGCACAGGCGTAATGTTTAACACCAATTTATATGTCTCTCTTTCTGGTGGTGGAGAAACGCAATCCTTTGAATATTCAGAGTGGAATTTTTCCATACTTGAATATTCTATTAAACTTATTGCTATCTATCGTCCACCTTATTGCGCGGCTCACCCTGTTCTACCTGGAAAATTCTTTGAAGAATTCTCAAACTATTTGGAGGATATTGTTCTATGTCCAGAAATTCTATTGATTACCGGGGACTTTAATTTTCACTTGGATTATACGGTTAACAGAAACACGATAAAATTTAATGAGATGCTTGAAACATTTGGCCTCAAACAACATGTTTGTACTCCAACACATTCGTCCAATCATACACTGGATCTATTGATAAGTCGATCTACAAGTGACATTAATATCCTTTCGATTTAGAGTACTTTCTTCTGTCCGACCATTGTTTTGTAGAATGTAAATTATCTATTCCTCGTCCGAATGACTCCAAAAAGCTAATTTCTTATCGTGAACTGAAAAAGATTAACATTGTTGACTTTAAACTTGATCTAAGCAATGTGAATTTACATTGCGAAAACATTGCACATCTTGATGAATTAGTGCATTGCTATGATGACGTACTTTCACGTATTTTAAATACCCATGCTCCTGTCCGAAGAATGCTAATGAAAGTTAAGCGTTCAACTCCTTGGTACAATGACGAACTAAGACAATTGAAAGTAAAGCGTAGGAGACTAGAGAGAAAGATGCGGAAAACAAAATTAGAAGTAGATTGGACTGCCTATCGGAAAATATGTAACCGATATTGTTACTTGTTGAATAAAGCCCGAACTGATTATTATACTTCCCTTATCAGTGATAGCTCCAACGATCCAAAGAATCTTTTCAGAATTGCGAGCTCCCTTTGTAATGCACCGCATGAAAATTCCTTACCACCTCATGACGATCTTGGTCAATTAGCAAATAGGTTCAACGAATATTTTTTCCGCAAAATTGAATTGATTAGAGAAAATGTGGACAGTATCCATGTCGATCCTCCGTTGGTGCATTACCGTAATCCTGAAGTCAAATTAGAATCTTTTGAGATACTTTCTTCCCAGGATATTCATGATGTTATTATACAATTGTCCACTGCCAGCTGCAAGCTTGATCCGATCCCATCATGGCTTGTTAAAATCTGTTGTCTGGAACTAATTCCCTCTCACCAAAATTGTAAATTTATCCTTGCAGGAGGGACGTGTCCCAGATCACTGGAAAATTGCTCTGCTGAAACCAAATCTGAAAAAGTCTAGCTTGGACCCAGTATTTGAGAACTTTAGGCCTGTGAGCAATCTGTCATTTCTTTCTAAGATCACTGAAAAGGCAGCCGCCAACCAATTGCTGAACCATTGTGAAAAACATGCACCTCTTCCTACCTGTCAATCTGGCTTCAGGAAATATCATTCGACAGAGACGGCTCTGCTAAAGGTCCAAAACGATATTCTTCTGAGTATGGACAGGCAGGAAGTGTGTTTTCTTGTACACTTGGACATAAGCTCAGCGTTCGATACAATTGATCATAAAACTATCATTGACGTATTGGAATATCAATTTGGAGTGACGGATAGGGCTCTTGAATGGATAAAATCATATCTATTGAACAGGAAACAGAGAGTTGATCTGGATAACAATTTTTCTGAAGACTGTGATGTTAAGTACGGAGTGCCTCAAGGGAGTTGTCTTGGCCCCATACTTTTTCTGCTTTATGTATCCCAACTATATGACATTATTGACAGGCACTTACCCTCTTCTCATGGATATGCTGATGACACGCAACTTTATGTATCCTTTCGCCCAGATTTTGGAGATAATTCAGAAAGTACCCTAGCCGCACTGGAAGATTGTATTTCTGATGTTCGTACTTGGCTGTTGTCTCATAAATTAATGTTCAAAGATTCGAAAACGGAATTTCTTGTAATTGGTACACCACAACAACTTTTGAAAATAAACATTGAATCCGTTAACGTTGGTAGGGTCCAAATTAAACCGGTTGACAGTGTTCGAAATTTGGGATCTTGGTTTGACAAGCATATGTCAATGTCAGTTCATGTAGGCAAGATGTGCAGTAAAGCATTCAGAGGACTGTATAAAATGCGACAAATTAGAAAATTTTTAGCTACTAATACAACGAAAACTTTGATACATGCTTTCGTGACATCACACGTGGACTATTGTAATGCTCTGTTGGCTGGCATACCTCAGTATCAAGTCCAGCGAATGCAGAGAGTTCTTAATGCCGCTGCTAGACTAATCTACCACTGTCCAAGATTTTCTCACATCACCCAAGTTTTGAGATCACTTCACTGGCTACCGGTAAAATTCCGGGTGGAATTCAAAATTGCTTTACTGGTTTACAAGGCTCTTAATAACATTGCCCCTATCTATATCTCTGAAATGCTTATCCCAAAACAATCAAGTGATCGCTGGACATTACGATCGGATGGTCAAGGTCTACTATACATCCCGAAAACAAACTGTAAGGCTCTCGGAGATCGGGCTTTCGCACATGCTGCTCCACAATTATGGAATTCTCTGCCTCTGGATGTCAGGAACTGTGAAAACATTTCTGTGTTTAAGAAACGCTTGAAAACATTTCTTTTCAATAAGGCTTATAACCCTTTATAGGTTGAGACCATATTGGATTCTATCATTCTTATTATAGATACATACATTAGTGTATATTCTAATTGTATACAATACCATGTTTTATATAGCATATTTAATTCTTAATATTTAATTTTTAATTTTTAATTTTAATTTTTTTTTTAAATTTTACAAATTTGCCATTATTAAAGATATAAACTAACTATAAATTACACACAATGGCTGGAATGACCACACAGAGATAAAATCTCCAATAACGGGGTTCCACAACATACATAAACATAACAATAATCTACACAATGGCGTGACAGATATTAGACATACTAATAAACAGATAAACAAATTAACAGGCCACAAATTGAAACAAACAACGATAAGGCAACGACATGAGAACCTATTTGAAATTCTGAACTCGTGAATGAAGTACTAGAGTAATTTGAAGCTGTTAAGATTGTTTATGTGATCGAGCAAGCTATATTAAAATTTAATGACTGCTTTCCCTATCACGCACACCGTCCACAACCGCCAAAATGCTATACTCATAGTCTCGTACATGGAGTTGAACCATAAGATAAAGTAATATTCATTATAGCATTATGGTAATTGCATTTGGCACACGCAATAAGGGATCACTATATAAGGTTCGATTGACCTAACAACATGGTCTAGATAATAAGTTCCATAAAGGACGACTTGTGTGACATTTCACACAAACTGACTTAAGAGTTCTCGGGTCATCGGGGTTGAATAATTTATTTGTAATATATTTAGATTTTTATAATATACAGCGCTTCGAGTATATAATATAACATATGCGCTTTATTTAAATGAATAAATTATTATTATTATTATTATTATAAGATGCATGTGTTTAAAGATGCGGTACAGTTCGATCTGCGCATGTGCACAAAGGAGCCCTCTTTTTATTTACAAACAGTTTATTTAGGTTTTTATTTCATTTTATGTTCTTGCTGTGTTTTGATAATTTATTATACTCTAGAATCATGAAAATATAAGTAGTTGTCGAATAAAATTCAATATTTTAGATACCGAAATGTAAACCAAGCCTTTCTTTACATACGGACTCTACCGCATCTTTAAAGCCGCTTTTCCACTAGGCGGAATTTTGCGTGCGGAATTTTCCTTGGTCTTGTGATTTCTCAGGTTGTCTAATGATGATTAAGAAAAGAAAAATTCCGCTTAATGACTAAGCTTATAATAGAGAACATTTTCTCCTATAAGTTGAGTAAACTGCCTTGACTTCGGTCGGTAAAAGAAATAGATAAAAAAAAAACTCTTCGATGTTTCGAGCGATGTTTCGTTTTTATTGCAAACCTAAAGAACCTAAAGGCCCGTTTACACTTGGGTGCAATTTTCTTCTTCTGATGGATGTGAAGGAGTGGATGAGTTATGTTCAGAAGAGTGATCAGCGGTGTATATACTCAGAACATACCAACTCATCTATACTTGTTCACATCCATCAAGAAGAAAATCGCAGCAAAAATTGCAAATGTAAACGGGCCTTAATACTTCCTCTGTGATGCTTCGCACGTTCGAAGATTTTATTGTATTTTCTAAAGATGAAGTCATCTGAAAAGATCATAATACGATTAATACCCTTGGACATGATATCTCACTCGTTCGCTGCGCTCACTCGTGAGATATCATGTTCAACACTCGAAATAAATCTGGTATTTCCGGGCACCCATGTATTCTCTATATATTCAAAATTTAATTTTTTGCTTAGGACCTGCATGACTACCCTATTGGTGACGACAGTCATCTTCGTGTGTCATTTTCCAAGAAGACGCTCCGCTGATGTTCTTTTGCACATAACAAACACGACACCGTAGTGACTGCTGATAACAGACTTCAATGAAGTAAATTGAAAAAACTGTTCAGTGTTTTTATTAAAACTGTGCTGTAAATAATTTTATCTCTCCTTTTACGGTTTTACCACTACAAATAAAGACTTGATTTTATACAGTTTGTGACATTAACGAGAGAATTTTACCGTTTCGGAAAGTTATAGAGCCTTGTTTCCGTGATTGGACTGATACGTGTCGTTGCATGGTATAGTGATAATTTTGCAAAAGGGGATGTTTCGTAAATATGTCTCCAGTAACGAGATTAAATACCTGTGTTAAGAATAAATTTGAAAGTATTACATGTCTACACTTGTCTTGAGGAAAGATTTTCGTCACACGAACCAGCCTCGTACCTCCAAATATCACCAATACAATCACGTAGGCATATGTTCATGGCTAGCATTAATAAATACTGGTTGTCTATTTGTTTGACTGTCCCTGCTTGTATTGATGTTCTCAATATCCGCGAGGGGATATGTCGTTGTTAAATGTACCCTTGGTTTGCACTTGCTAAATACTTTAAACAAGAACGTCCGCAAACATCGACGATACGCTGCATGACGAGCCGCACGTTTTGAAAACCAGCGGGATTTGCAAACTGAGTTTGCATTTTTCAGGAAGCGGGTGCACCTTACCCACTCACAATTAACGCTATGCGATGTCACCAATCCAGGAGAAACTGCTCAAACACAGTGTGAGATCAAACATGTAATAAGTCAAATTTCAGTCCGAATATTAACCTACATATGTTATATGATATTTTAGGTACAGTTTAGTACAAATAAATGGCTTGATTGTTGACAGAGCTAACACTACAGGATACCGCTATAGATACCGCTCCAGGTGTAGCTAATTCACAATGATATTTTGGCTTAGATGCGCCAAAAGGTGCTTCTGGTTTAGATGCGCAATGCGTTCTTTAGGTATATGGTATTAATATCTCCTTACTAGTTTGTTTTCCCTTACGGATAGCAATAGGCCTACATTGGAAAAAGGTCGCGCAAGGAGCGGAAAATAGATTATATAATAGTATACAAGATAATTTATTTTGAAAGGCTATATATATATTTGCGTTACGTATTTTGCTCCATAATATTCAAGGGAAAATTGTAATAGAGACTCTCAATAGCTTCCACTGGTTAAGAAAAATGAAGCATCTACACTAGATGCTTCATTTCGTCCTTAGAAGGACTCTTAAAAGGAGCAAAGGCTCAGTATTTTGTGTTGCGCGCGCCGTGATTTATAGTGCAACATATTAATATTTAGTGTATACAAGGAATAACACAGACTCCTATTTAGCTTCCACTGGTTAAGAAAAGATGGAGCATCTTCATAACCTGCCAGCAAAAGATGGCACATCTTTCTGGCACAGGAGTTTCCACTAAAAGGACTCTTAATTATTCCGGCAGAGGCAAAGCCAAAGGCTGATATATTTTGCGTTGCTCCGTGTTTTATAGTATATAATATGTACCGTATACAAGGAATAACACAGACTCCTATTTAGCTTCCACTGGTTAAGAAAAGATGGAGCATCTTCATAACCTGCCAGCAAAAGATGGCACATCTTTCTGGCACAGGAGTTTCCACTAAAAGGACTCTTAATTATTCCGGCAGAGGCAAAGCCAAAGGCTATATATTTTGCGTTGCGCCGTGTTTTATAGTGTATAATATGTACCGTATACAAGGAATAACACAGACTCCTATTTAGCTTCCACTGGTTAAGAACAGATGGAGTATCTTCATAACCTGCCAGCAAAAGATGGCACATCTTTCTGGCACAGGAGTTTCCACTAAAAGGACTCCTAAGTATTCCTGCTGAGGCAAAGGCTATATTTTGCGTTGCGCCGTGATTTATAGTGGGATATGTACTGCATGCAAAGAAAAATACAGACTCCTATTTATAGCTTTCACTGCTTAAGAAAAGATGCAACATCTTCATAACCTGTTTTTTTAAGTTTAGATATAATGAGAACCATATTGGTGTCCTAGTAATAATTTTATGCCTCAATAATCCCTAAATGTTAGATCAAAAAGTGCTGTGTGAAATATGATAGTGTGATGGCCTCGTGTTGTTGGCACAATGTATGCCTGTGAAAATTATGTTGTATTTGATGAAACTGAGGATAAAAGATAAAAAAAACGACTTGTATTTGTATAAATGTGAACCTAAGAAATATAAGTAGCCTACAGGTGTAGATTTATGAAACACAAAACTGGAGATGCATGCATGTGTAAAATTGTAAAGGTAAAATATATCCTGTGGTGTAAAATGTATATTTGATCAGACCCAAAGAGTATGATCATGCACGCTGTACTAAAAAGCTTGTATGGAGGCATGTAAAATATATAAAGCGAGAGAAAGAGATAGTCATGAGTGTAAAATTCAATATCCCTGTACGCGGCGTTTCGTCCTTCATGGTCTCATGGACTCGTCAGAAGGGAGTTGGGGTTGGCACATGTGTAAGAAGGATAGAATACAGAAACCGATTTGGATTACAGAGTCAATAAACATAAAAATAGCAATATATGTGTATGACTATTGTAAAATAAATGTAAAGTAAAAAGTGTCTTACCAAATTCGCTGATATTTTTGTCAACCAACACGTTGGGCCATGGTTGTAATTACTAAGGAATGTGGTATAACTATAGCCTTTGTGTAGAGCGTCTTTCGTTACGACAGATAAAGGCATACCAGTTTTTTAGAGTATGAAGCTTGTCTGAGTAAACGCGTTTGTACGCCATGATCGCTTGACATGCTGTTCGCTTCAGACCAGGCTTCAGACATTTGGTGATTTGGCGCAATTGAATTTGGCGCCCAAAATTTTGTAAACTTATATTCTGAAGTTCTAATATGCAGTAATTGGTGATGACAACTTGACAAGACGTTTCATATACTAGATTAGTTAATATTTTTCAATGATTAAACTACATCTCATTGCTTGGCATTAAATTACATGCAAGGGAAAATAATCCAGTCTATTAATTGGAAACAAATGTCAACACCTTTCACACTTTTCCTATTAATGCTGCGTTAAGCAACACCTAAAAGTTAATCCTGTTTAAACCCGTGCGGCTCGTCATGCCTGGTGGACGCTGGTCACGTGATCTGCTAAAATCTAGCAGATTTTTAATTAGCGTTGTTTTGTCAATCTGGGAGGGGTGGGAATGTAGTAGTTGACATTCGCCAGATGCATTAGTGCTGTATACTTCACTTTACATGTATTAATAAACATGATTTATACTGTTCTAAATTCGTACTCATCATGACAGGATTCCCTGCTATATTGAATGTCATCAATAATAAGTGCTGCGGTACATTTCAAGCGAGAAGCTGGATCATATTTCACTTGCAAGGAAAAATATACTCCACACGCGCCTGGCTAGTGAGCACGCATCAGATCGCCGTATAAACATACATATCTGATATCTTCTACACCAACTGATCGATCAAACGGTATTTATATAAAACGAACGATATGATATGGTTGTTTATAGTTGAAATGTATCCTGTCCGATATTCAAAACAAAGGATTTATTTTATAACGGGATCCTTTGATTTCCCAATTGAAGTACTGAACATCGCCAACTGTGTATATAAAAGCAATAGTGCTGTTTTGACTGTGAATTACAGTAAGCACAGGATTAAAACCCGTTATTTCTTTTATTTACATTGCTGAAACAGCTCAACGATCAAGAATGATATATGTCGAAGTACAGCTACAGTATACTGTTATCACACGCCAAGACTCCTCGGTGCGTGCGGTACAACTTGAATATCTAGGACGATATATGCACTAGACTAAATTATATCATATATTGCAGTAAACATTATAAATCTTATAAAGACCTTTCATTGGCATTGGTATTAATGCCCAGGCCTTATTTGAAGAATAATCCAACTTAAACTTTCGACTTGTATAATGCCGCTGTGAGTCATCAATATTTAAATCAACTTTAAGTCTTTAATCTTTATCGTATATACCCCTATACTGTGTCGTAACTGTAATTGAAATTTTAGAAGTTTCACCAAACGATACTTCGTAACTGTAAGCAAACAACCTATCTATCAGTATCAATAGAAACTTTAAAAGGCTTAATAAAACTCATTAATAAGTAATTCTATGAGCGAGACTTGGTGCGCATATACAGTTTATGAATTATGTATATATAAATATATATCCCTGATAAAACGTATAGGGACACTTCGTACCAGATATAATAACAAATACTTTGCTAAATCTTTTCGGATATCATTCCTTTGCATTCAGGGTGGGAGGGTGAATAGCGATAGCTATAATTTATTATAGGAGATTCTGTGCAATCTTCTGGCTCAACAAACAGGTAGTCGTGAAGACAATAAAGTGCACTGTCGAGTGTCGATTCCAAACAATTTTGTCAGTCGCTTTTGATACCTCTATTTTACAAAATTTATACCGTTTCCTTTCTATATGACAACAATTCAATGGCATATTATAAGAATATTGTAAATATCTGAACCAGAGGCAGAGCCAGGACAGAAGCGTACGTATGAAATGAAAATATTGTGCCCGAACCCCGAGAGAATATTAAAAACGCAACTATTTCAAACCATACGGTCATACGTTTTCGTTGCTTGATTTGCTGACTTGTCTGTTAGTATAAGAATCTGCATTTTACCAAGTTTGTATAATTTAAAACGGCAAACAGAAACCAATTTAGCAAGAATTTTGAAGAATATATGATTCTCAAAGATTATTGTACAGCACGGCCACTCCTTGCAATCGAAGTGTGAAGTGCGGAAGTGGAAACATGTAATATGAGACCTTTCCATCCCCCTCTGAGGCTATCAATTTTCTATGGGTCACGTGACCAGCGTCCACCAGGGTCTTTGCTTCCCAAGAGCAAATACCCTGGGAACGAGGTTGGCGCTGGGATCACATGTTTTGATCATTTTAGATGGTAATCTTGAAAT